GAAACGGTTAATTGCTTGATCGTCACGATGTCAGTCAGCAGTGATTCTTCCACTTGGTTGGAGTGCGTGCATTTTGAAACGTAGCTTTGTTTTCAAAATACTCTGTTGTGGTCTCCCTACAACTTCTTGACGAGACGGCCACCTCCTTCGGTGAGTCCACGGCATATGGCAACACGTTTGTCACCGACGACGATGACGTTTGCCCACACAGATCAACCAAAAGTCCCGCTTTTCAGCCTAGCAAAACGCAGACGCCAGAGAAGGCGACGCGCTCTAGGCGGATTACTAGTTGGTTTGCAGTTTTACCCACTTTAATTTGGTCGAAAATCGCCACTACCAATTTCTCAGTGGGGTCCGTGCTATGTGAAGGTAGGTCGTTCCTTCGATGAAGACAAGAATGCAGGTCCACTCGAGTGAAAGACGAAATGAAAACACCATTCATTTAATCTCGTGGAACGTTATGGCGAAGTAATGGTTCGCAGATCATTTAATTGCTGGTAGTGGATGAACGCCATGCCTGACTGACATCCACAGAGTCAGTGGAGGTGGGCATTTACCATCTATCAGTTTTATTGAAGTCAGTTAGACTTGACACCGTTGAAAAATAGTAATCAGGTCGAGAAGCATGGTACGCACGGTGAGTACCTGTTCGGATTCACTTTAAACGGCCTTGTGGACGGCTTCAAAAACCTGTTGTCCTGGATATAGGGGATCACGCTATAGGGAGCTTAATCAAGATTATGATGTAAATTTTATTCACTTAATTGCCCGTGTATAGGCGTCCGGCTTCCGAATGGAAACAAGCCCTAATACTGAGGTTAGGAAAGGGCGCGATGGTCAACCTGGACAACTGCGCGGAAACTGGCACAGATGTTGTCAAGCCGGAGCAGTTTCTCTCCCGCGCCAAGCTCTAGGGAACCAACACGCGGACCCCCTTGTCAGCCTGAAGGGGAGGCGCATCAAGAGTGGTATCTTTGACCGTCCTCATCGTGCCGACAATGTGCCGAGTGGTGCACTTATTGTGCCGACCAAGAGTATCCTCGAGCGACTTTGGTCAAGTACTGACGGTGCCTGTCTGTTTGCCGCCCGAAACACCAACCGCAGTCGGTGAAATGTCCGGTCGGATATTCCCCTGATAAATACAGCCATCGCTGAATGGCCGTTGTATTTGCGACGGGATATTAGGAGCAGAGTGAATAATGGCTCGTCCAGTGTCAAGGTGATAATGATTTCCTTCGTCGACATCTCTGGGCTAACGGTTCTGCAGTCCTCTGG